GTTTGTATACTTACTACAGTCAAACAGGGAACCAGCACATTCACATAACATACCTACTCACATAGCAACTAACTCATGGCTGTGTCCTGCAGGATTTGTACTTGTTCATGTCTCAAGCAATAATAAAGCACTAAAGTAGCTTAGTTATCATTTCCCACATTTTTCTGAGCATCTAACATGACATACAGCAGTGCAGAGCAGCTTCAGAGAATGCACATCACACTTTAAATGCACAGACTCACACCAGCCACCCAATGAGCCAGTTCCTCAGTTGACTGTTTCCCTGGATGCAGCTTGGCAAGGTGAGCTAACTGTTGGCAAGTTGAAGGTTAGCAGGTAATATTGAGTTATGGTGAGTACCTACCTACAACTGGGTGCACTGCTACTGCTATGCAGGTCTTGGCTAGGTTGCAAATATGTTTGATGATTGATGTTAGGTCAGCTGTTAGGCTAGTCAGGTATGCCCACTGCTCAGGTCACATTTTTATGGACACTTGGCAAATTAAAACCTAATCTAAGCTAACCCAACTAAACCTACACAACTACTGACTATAGGAACCAAGCACCTACCTACTTGTGCTTACATCTCATAATACCATGTCAAAGTAAAGTTCCTTGGTGGAAGATTACTCTCAGTACTTTTTATCCCAGCCTTGTGAAGACAACTAATACTTCTAAGTTCTGAGTCACTTCTGGCCATCCACAGAAAGAAGCACTGAGAGCTTTGCCATTGTATATTGGACCAACAGTCACTATCACAAATGACTATGAACACACACGATCACATCGTTGCATGGATTGTCACATTGACAATTTTACTAAAATCCTTTTTTCAAAAAAATACAGTAATGATTAACATCAAAATCAACATAACATGGATTTAGTGATCCAAGCTTTCTCCTCCAGTAGCAATGGAATGATCGCATGTTTCATTTGCCAGACACTGAGCACCTGATGCACATTACCATCTGCATAGCATCTAAGCATAGTAAAGCTGCCCGAGTCCATTCATTCTAGATTTTTCACTTGATAGTAAGCACTAATTTATCTTGCTGTTGTAAGTTATCATTAAATATTCATACCAATACATCAATATGTGCCGATCAGTCAACATTTTCTAGCATGATACTGCTCAGCGTGCTCTTCAGTATTGATCCAAGATCTCCTGCAATATTATAGCTTGTTTTCAGCCAATAAGCTCTTTTGATTTTCCTTTTCTTGCTGATATATGAGCCCGATCAACTTGCGTTTATCAACCAAAATTTCATAACTTCAAGTTGAAGTTCAACTTGATATTGATATTGATATCAATATTGCTCAGGACTCAGGCAGGACCTCTGTCAGCCTCCTGGATACATGGCATTGTTTTCAGTCAACATGTTACTTAAATATGATATAAGTCAATCTTAAGGGATTCAAAACATCCAACAAAACGACGTACAAGAGTACGGAAACCACTAGATAAACTTGAAAAGGGCCTTGGAACAGAGCCAAGTGGTGCTCCATTTGTTTGTTTATAATGATTGTAGTGGTGATGTATTTTTAGGACTCTGACGGTCGGCTTATAAAAAATGAAACGTTTTTACAAAAGTTGTAGGGCAAGTAATATTTATCTGAAAGAACTAAAATTATCAAAAACCAAACACTATGAAATACATGAATCAGAGCGAAAAACTAACCCAATAATCCAGCCTAATCTTCGGCTCCTAAAACTGCGACAAAATCAGCACTTTTCCCCGCAACTCGTTGTCCAGACGTAAATATGCGGCTTTGCGAACCGGCGGAGGCATATTTACGTCTGGACAACGAGTTGCGGGGAAAAGTGCTGATTCTGTTGCAGTTTTAGGAGCCGGTGATTAGGCTGGATTTTTGGGTTACTTTTTCGTTCCGATTCATGTATTTCATAGTGTTTGGCTTTTGAATATTTTAGTTCTTTCAGATAAATATTACTTGCTTTACAACTTTTGTAAAAACGTTTCATTTTTTATAAGCCGACCTTCAGAGTCTTAAAAATACATCAGCACTACAGTCATTGTAAACAAACAAATGGAGCACGACTTTTGGCTCTGTTCCAAGGCGCTTTTTAAGTTTATCTGGTGGTTTCCGTACTCTTGTACGTCGTTTTGTTGGATGTTTTGAATCCCTAAGATTGACTTATATCATATTTAAGAAGCATGTGACTGAATACAATCCGAAATATCCAGGGGGCTGACAGAGGTCCTGACTCCTGACCAATATCAATATCAAGTTGAACTTGAAGTTATGAAATTTTGGTTGATAAACGCAAGTTGAACGGGCTCATATATCAGCAAGAAAAAGTAAAATTAAAAGAGCTTATTGGCCGAAAACAAGCTATAATATTGCAGATCTTGGAGCAATACTGAAGACCAGTGAAGAGCGCGCTGAGCAGGATCATGCCAGAAAATGTTGACTGATGAGCGCACTGCGCATATTGATGTATTGGTATGAATATTGAATGATAACTTACAACAGCAAGATAAATTAGTGCTATCAAGTCAAAAATCTAGAATGAACGGACTTTGGCAGCTTTACTATGCTTAGATGCTATGCAGATTGTAATGTGCATTAGGTACTCAGTGTCTGGCAAATGAAACATGCGATCATTCCATTGCTACTGGAGGAGAAAGCTTGGATCACTAAATCCACTTGATGTTTATTTTGATGTTAATCATTACTGTATTTCTTGAAAAAAGGATTGTTATGAAATTGTCAATGTGACAATCCATGCAACGATGTGATCATATAATGTGTTCATAGTCATTCGTGAGTGATTGTTGGTCCAATGTACAATGGCAAAGCTCTCAGTCTCAGCGTTTCTTCCTGTGGATGGCCAGCAGTGACTCAGAGCTTAGAAGTATTAGTTTTCTTCACAGGGCTGGGATAAAAAGTACTGAGGGTAATCTTCCACCAAGGAACTCTACTTTGACATGGTATGAGATGTAGGCACAAGTAGGTAGGTGCTTAGTTCCTATAGTCAGCAGTTGTGTAGGTTTAGCCGGGTTAGCTTAGATGAGGTTATGTTAGTTTTTTAATTTGCCAAGTGTCCATAAAATGTGACTTGAGCAATGAGCATACATGAATAACCTGACAGCTGACCTAACCTCAATCATCACACATATTTGCAGCCTACCCAAGACCTGCATAGCAGTAGCACCCAGTTATAGGTAGGTACTCACCCTAACTCAATCTTACCTGCTAACCTTCAACTTGCCAATAGTTAGCTCACCTTGCCAAGCTGCATCCAGGGAAACAGTCAACTGAGGAATGGCTCATTGGGTGGCTGGTGTGAGTCTGTGCATTTAAAGTGTTTCTTCTCTGAAGCTGCTCTGCACTGCTGTATGTCATGTTAGATGCTCAGAAAATGTGGGAAATGATTACTAAGCTACTTAAGTGCTTTGTTAATGCTCGAGACATGAAAAAGTACAAATCCTGCAGGGTACAGCTATGAGTTAGGTGCTAGGTGAGTATGTTATGTGAATGTGCTGTTCCCTGTTTGACCATAGTAAGTATACAAACAAGCACAGGGTCACAGTTATATTCAATCTCCAAATAAACATACAACAAAAACGGCCATATAGCCTCACTCCGAACACACCACAAAGAACTTAAGCCTTTGCAGGTACAAAAATGCTTTGATTTACAGGACAGGTATACAATCACGGTATATAGAGAACTAGGTAAAACCGGTTTGCCGCTTCAACACTAAGGTATTTTGACCACTATTTTCAGCTGACCTTTTCAGTCCAAAAATGAAAACTATGCAACAGATTTCAATATGTTTCATTATTCAAATATATATTTTGAATTAAGGTACAGAGAGCACAGCTTATCAAAATCTGTAAAGTAACAACGAAAATAAATTTTTGCCCAACTCCGCCATTTCGAAAATAATGGTTCTAAGGTTTTAGGGGTTTGTCAGGGACAACATTATTTTTCTACTCTTAAAATTTAAAATTAAAAATGAAAAAGTAATATCATGGGCAAAAATTGTTTCCTTGAATTACAAAATCAGCATAGTGCTGAACTTCTCAGCCTACCGGACCTGCCATTGTTCTACCACAAATTATCGACTAATATCAGTGATGTGGGGTTATAAATATGGTCCAAAAACATCAAATTTAAATTATCTTTCAGAATCTGTGCATGATGTTGCCTTTTAAATGTAAAGAACTGAATTTAATAGCTGTTGAATACACAGCCGCCATTGGTGTCCTTGGTCACCCTGTTCCACTAAATGTAGTATTTTTCAAAAACTAGCCTATGGCGGTGTCTAAAACATTTACCAAAATTTACAAAATTGTCTACACTATAAGAAATCAGAAAGCTTAAAGCTCTATGACCTCTGGCATTTTGACAACTTACTTCCGAGTCTCGAATTTAGATTTTTGAGAACCCAGCATTTCTGAACGAAATCATTGCTCCCTGGTCAGACTGTCAATCATCTGCTTTCAAAAGTTTTTTATTAAAATCAAAATTTCATTTCCTGTCCAGATATGGATATTTAATTGCAATTTAGAAGGTGTTAAGTATATTTTTTTGGCCTAGAATGAATTATCATTCATGTTGCTGAAGGTTACACTATGAAAATTAACGAAATATTACTAAAAAACAAGCCTATGGCGGTGTCTATTTCAAGATGAATAATAAACAAAATTCAATTGTCTATTTCTTGATATAAGTCGTAAAACATGATGACCTCTGGCATTTATGAGATTCGGTGTTGAAAACTGCAGACCATGATTATCACCCACAGTTGCGCACAGTTTTCTGTACTGCTTTCGCTGGCAAACGCCAGTGCTCGCATTTGATTGGTCTAACGGCGTTTCTTTTGCGAATTGAGAACACTCTGCAGTTTTATTTTGGTTTCTGTGTATTTTGTTGATTATTGTTGATTATTGTTGTTGGATTTGGTGGTATTATGATTAGGCAAGGTATTAGGCATTTTTCAGTCACACCATTCCCGTGGTATTATGGTAAGCACTTTTGATGTTTTATTGTGAGAGGTTACCTGTGCCAGGCTGGGTGATTTTGTTTCAAGTTTTTGATCTATGGTTTAGTTGAGATTGAAATCACCAGGGCAGAGTTTGTTGCATGCTGCATGCATGTTCCTGTTCCTCATACCCTTGTTCCGCAAGGCGTACATTATTTGTTTTATTGATTTGTCATGCCTCAATTACCAATCCTACGAAGTATGTAGTCTACTGCAAGTCTTTATAAACCTAATGCCCAGATTCATTTTGTGCATCCGCTCTCTCTTTGTGCGCTTCCATGGTGTTCTCCCTCTCGTTTTCATCCTCTTTCTCCTCTGCGTAGGTATCAACCCCCTGCTTCGGATGGCCATTGCAATTGAGGTAGGTGCCTTTGGAGCTTGCAGCAATGAGCGTTAGAAATGAATTACCAGAAATAAATGATGCTGTGAAAATTAATCAACAAAAGCTGACAAGGATTAGTTATTAAAATATTATATCTAAAAAGTTATATTTGTGTAGCGATCATGAAGTACATGCCCTGCCCCTCTGGCCAATCCTGGTCAATCCTGCTCCGGGTTGTGCAGACAACTATCCTATGTGGGAAGCCCAAAGCTCCCCCAGGAGTATGGCCATAATAGCTGGGTGTGGTGAGTGTCACAGGACTGATAGCCCTATAAACACAGGTCAGGTGGGAGGGTATTAGTAGAATAAGCTTAGGATGTTGGTTAAGCCCTTTCCTCATCACCCGCCTCTGTCACCAGTTTTCTCCTCAGCCTCCAGAGCTGGTAGAGTCAATCCTTGTTCTGCTCCATCTCTTTTCTATCATCGTTGAAGAGGAATGCTTTCAGTACCTTGTTGGGTTCTTCCACGTATGGCCTCAGTAGAGCTAGGTTTCATTGTCTTTCTTCTGTTAGCTTGGTACACTCTAGCATAAAATGGACTTCATTTCCTTCCTCTTTTCCACAGAGCTTAATTACCGTTATCACCTCATCCACCGTCTGCTCAATGTGTGAGGAATACGGAGACAAAGGCTGCTTGATAATTAAACAAGTTCTGTGTTTTCTCAGGAAGTCAGTACTTTGTTAGATAGGTATGTGATGAGTTTAACGTAGACAATTGCAGTCTTATGTGTCGATGAAACTAAAAGTCTTGGAAACATGATAAGCTTAGCATAACATTCTGCCATTGCGTTCATGTGTTTGGCTTTGTCGTTCCTATCGTAGGTATGCTTTGTGGATTCTGAGTTCTGACCATATTATCTTCCACCAGGTTCATTGCTGGCAGTGGTTCAGGAGACAGTGGTTCGATCCCAGCTGTAGAACGTCACCTGCAGGAAGTAGCATTGTGATGGCCAGCCACGAGGCGCGTTTATCCAGCCACATTGTCCAGAAACCATCACATCATCTCCAGGTCAGTAACTGTGTGGACCAGTCCAACGCGTCCACAGGTCACTGGTCAGGCTGTATCCCACCACCTCACTAGGTAGTAGGTCAGTGACATAATGGCATTGTGTGACCCGTCGCCGCGTCCTTATAAGGACCACTCACCTATAGGTGGGTGGCTCGGGGGAACTTTTTGTGTTGCCGGGATGGGATGTCTGCTAATGCAGGTGCCGCTGCAAGTGTCGTGACGTATGATGGGTCTCAGGCTCGGATTTCGATTTCTCGAGTGAGAAATGTGTGTACAGGCTAATGTAATGTTATTAAAGCTGAGTGTGCGACAGGAAACGTTAATCATGAGCTATGAGTCGTGGTCGCCGTGGCTCGTAGTGGTATTTGACGACCGTCGTGACCTGTGACGGTCACCGTGACTGCTATGTGATGGTCGCCGCGGGCCGGCTGGCATATGACGGCCGCCGTGACTTCTATAACGGCCTTCGTGACTGAATCGTGACGGTCGTCTTGATGTGCCGCGACTCGCTGCTTTACAGGTCACTGGTCGCTGGTGCTCGAGTTGACTGTGTCTTCAACGGCTCCACGGTGACCAGCGCCGCCACCGCCGAGACCATCCGATTCCTGAAATGATAATGGCCGTACACGAACAAGAGGCTCTATGCATCCAGATGCAAGTCAAGCGCCATGCTCAGAGGCGTCATCCGGAGAAGGTCGCACAGTGCACTTTAGGCTGAGCTCGGGTGTAGTGCGCGCTGACGGATAGGATGAAATTACGGGCCGGCCATCAGATTTCAGTGCGGGGATCAAGATGGTCGGAGCCGACGTGGCTCGGTTGATGGTGTGCCAGGGTTAATTGAGAGTGGAGGCGAGACACCCGGATCTGTGAAGGATACGCCAATACGGGTCTCGACGTCGTCTCGCAATTTGTGCTATGTAATATGACGGCTATGCCGTGGTATCATTCACTCTCGATGCGCTAATAAATAATAAATAGGACAGACTGGAATTAATATTATTATATTTGGATGTAAGGGGCAGGTTTTGGCCAGCGCTATATTAGAAATCGTGAGCGTGCTAGTTGCAATTAATCGCGCGCTTCCTGCTGAGCATCTGTGAGCGAGAAAATACTTTCTCTGGAACGTTCGTCGTAAAATATGTGTATCTTTGGAATAAGTTGTCAGAACATGAATGAATTTTTTGTGTCCACTGCAGCTGCTGTTCTGGAACAGAAACATGCCGAGATCGGTTGTGTATGTACTATGTACGCTGTAGCAAAATCAAGCAGCCGTACCATGAATCAAAAGCGATATGTGAATTAAAGTGGATATTTTTCACTATTTTTTCAGTTTTATCATACAGATCACAGAAATGCGTCGAATACTGATCACACCCGGTTCCAAACAACTAAACCCTTGCGATCACTGGGAAGTAAATAATAATACCCATGTGGCTGTCTTGTCTGGCGTGATCCGAGACTCTCTCTCTCTCCCCCCCTCTCTCTCTCTCTCTCTCTCTCTCTCTCTCTCTCTCTCTCTCTCTCTCTCTCTCTCTCATTGTCGTTGCTGACGCACAAGGGACAACACGGCCGAATCGCGACGATGGAGAACACGGAACGATGCTGGTGACTGGCGGACCAGCGAAAACAGGAAAGGAGATGATTAGCTCTAGCTCCCGTCTGCGCGCGGAAGGCGCTGATTGGCGGGGCTCGTAGACTCCATTGGCTCATCAGACTGTTGTTGGTTTTCTTCCTCCCCTCCCACAGGCGTAGCCAGGTAGCTAAGTTGTGCGCGGAAGCGAGCGGCCAGAGCGGCGCTAGGTGTCGCCCTCCCAGCGACCGGGCAGTGCAGCTGGACGTGCCCCGGATGGTCCGCCTCTGATCTCGGCACACTCGGCAGAGTGCGGCCGGACACTACATGGAGTTGCATAGCGTCGATAGGCCGTATGGTGTCGCTGTCGTAATTATAAAAGCGTAAGTAGAAGGTTGAAGCAAGATATAGAATGCTTTTCTTTACATTTAATATCGCAAAGCACAGCTTTATGCGCTGGCTACGATATGTTCGTGTCGGTTGCGGCAGTAATCATCGAAGAAATATATGATTTATGAACGTTTCTTGATCATAGAATGATAAAACATTGCAATGTTTGCCTGTTGTGAAGATAACTCCTATACTGCCGCTCTATCGTCCGGAATTATTCGTGTTTGATCGCGGCGATTCCGCCACTCTATCAGCTGATTTTTGTTTCCGAGTCACGTGACCAACCGGTGTCTCCCTGTATACAATATAGGTATCCTCTGTCCTTGGGGATCTTGCTGCCAAGTTGAGGTACGATGACTGAACTTCAGGATTGATCAACCTTTTCTTCTTAGCCACGCTGCTCTGCTTATATACGAGAAAGACCAAATGCTTGTTTGTAAACTGCCTTGAAAATTTAATGATCCACCTTCAATTCTGACATGAAGGCACAAATAAAATAGTTCTCTCTCCTTTTGGAATACACAAAGCAAAATATTTAATAACTTTCCCCTCAGGTCTGGCATTCATGAATTACACTGACGCTTATTCGCTTCATATTTTGTAACAAACGCGCTAAAACTGCAATATAAAAGCACTATATTCTTCTTGACAAAATGCAAAAGTAGTAATAATTTAGCCCTGATGGCATTCATTCTTGGTGGACACGTAATTACAAAATATTTTGTAGTAACTATTAAATTCCGGCCGAGAACAGTGCACGGTTTAAAAAAGAATCATTCCAATGACGGTCCATTCTTGCGGTCCTGAAATCGCCACTATTTCCGGCCTCTCCAACGCAACTCGTTGTCCAGACGTAAATATGCCCGGCGGAGAGGGGGGCATATTTACGTCTGGACAACGAGTTGCGTTGGAGAGGCCGGAAATAGTGCCGATTTTTGGACCGCAAGAATGGACCGTCATTGGAATGATTCTTTTTGAAACCGTGCATTGTTTTTAGCCGGAATTTAATGGTTACCACAAAATATTTTTTTGTAATTACATTTTAGCCAAGAATGAATGCCATAAGGGAAGTTTCAACTACCATTGCATTTTGTCCAGAAACATATAGTGCTGTTATATTGCAGTTTTTGCGCTTTTGTTACAAAACATGAAGCGAACATGCAAAAACAATAATTGCGCTTGTCCATCCACTTACCACTAAGAAGTTATTAGATATTATGCTTTGTGTATTCCAAGAGGAGAGGGAACTAATAATTCTTTGTGCCTTCATGTCAGAATTGAAGATCGACCATTCAATTTTCAAGGCAGTTAATCAACCAAACCAAGCATTTAGTCTTTCTCATATTATAAGCAGTGGCTAAGAAGAAAAGGTTGATAAATACTGAAGTTCAGTCATCTTACTTCAACTTGGTAGCAAGATCCCCAAGAACAGAGGATATATAGTATACCTATCCTGTACATCAAAGCATTTTGGTGCCTACAAAGCCTTGAATTATTTGTTGTGTGCTCGGAGTGAGGTTATGGGCATATTTGTTGTGTTTATGTGGAGATTGAATATAACTGTGACCCTGTGTTTGTTTGTGTATTTACTACAGTCAAACAGCACATTCACATAAATACTCACCTAGCTCACAGCTGTACCCCGCAGAATTTGTACTTGTTGATGTCTCGAGCTGTGCATGAACAAAGCACTAAAGTAGCTTAATTATCATTTCCCACATTTTCTGAGCATCTAACATGGCAATACAGCAATGCAGAGCAGCTTCAGAGAAGAAACACTTCCAATGCACAGACTCACACCAGCCACCCAATGAGCCATTTCCTCATTTGGCTGTTTCCCTGGATGCGGCTCAGGAAGGTGAGCTAATTCTTGGTAACAGCTCAAGGTGAGCTAGCTGTTATTAAGTTGAAGGTTAGCAGGTAAGATTGAGTTAGGGTGAGTATCTACCTATAACTGGATGCTACTGCTATGCAGGTCTTAATATTAACATAATCTAAGCTAACCCAACTATCCTACACAACTACTAACTATAGGTACTAAGCGCCTGCCTACTTGTGCCTACATCTCATACCAAGTCAAAATAAAGTTCCTTGCTGGAAGATTACGCGCTCTGGTACATTTTATCCCAGCCCTGTGAAGAAAACTAATATTTCTGAGTCCTGAGCAGGCATCGGTAGGATTGTGATTGCAGGATTGCAAAATCCTGATTGCATTCCTTTTTGGTGGATTGCACCTGGATTTGAAATCCATGCAAAAAACAGGATTTGATTGCGGATTGGATTGCATCATACTTCCAATTTTGCAATCCAATCCGGATTGTGTTTGATTAGTGCTTTGAAATGGTTTGTTGCGATTGAAAATTATGAGATCGGCTTGATCGGCTTAATGTACTTTGCTATCAAGGGCTTTACATCGGAACTTGAAATAATCTAAACGCTTTTAATGTAAACGCTCAAAATAATATACGCTGATGAACTACATAGGAAGGGCAAAATTACGTATTTGAGGGCCAGTTTTTAAAATATAAAACACTGGTTGGGTAGAGGTTTAAATGTTGGGGTGTTAGGCAAAAAATATTTCCCATAAAATACCTGTGCCTTAGATAGGAATTACTCGCAAGACTAAGTACTAGAAATGGGTGATTTGGGGATGGAGGCACGGCCCTATGCCCCCCCCCCCCTCCCTCCCCCAGATCCACTAGTGCACATAATAATACAACAGGATTGCAAAAAAGGATTGCGGATTTGATCACAATCCAAGTGAAAAAACGGGGATTGCGGGTAGGAATGCAATCCACTTCGGCACTAGGAATGTGGATTGGGAATGCAATCCTTTCAAAAAGGATTTTACCGATGCCTGGTCCTGAGTCACTTCTGGCGGTTTATATAGCCTTGCTTCTGGCCATCCACAGAAAGAAGCGCTCAGAGCTTTGCTGTGGTATATTGGACCAAAAATCACTATCACGAATGACTATGAACACATCATATGATCACATCGTTGCATGGCTTGTCACATTGACAATTTTACTTAAATCCTTTTTTCAAGAAATTGCAAGCTTCATTTGCCAGACACTGAGTAATGCGCATTACCATCTGCATAGCAAAGTAAAGCTGCCCGAGTTTGTTCACTCTAGATTTTTTCACTTCATAGTTAGCACCAACTAATCTTGCTGTTACAAGTTATTATTCAATATTCATCCCAATATATCAATAGACAATACCTATGCAATCATCAGCAAACATTTTCTGGCAATTGATACTGCTCAGAGTTCTCTTCAGTATTAATCTACTGCAATATTATAGCTTGTTTTCGGCCAATAAGCTCTTTTAATTTTACTTTTTCTTGCTGATAAGTAAGCCAGATCAACTTGCGTTTATCAACCAACATTTCCTAACTTCAACTTGATCTTGCCCAGGACCTCTCTTAGCCTCCTGGATACTTACCTCATGCTCTTACCTCATTGGGTTCCATCAAGTCTGTAAGTAGGCAGGGAAGGATAGGCTAGAGGATAGACAGAACCCTACACATATAAGACGCGCCAGCCAATAATTAAGCCAGTCATATGGTAATGTCATGCAAGACTTGACTGGAATCATGCGCCTAACAGGTTACACAGTGCTAACAAGTTTTGCTAGAATCGATAAGAATTTCCGATAAGTATATATAAGATAATACAGTGTACACCTATTTCCATGCGATAGAGTTCATTCTGTGAAAGTCTACTACACGTTTGAGCGCTGTGAGATAATACACGGATAATACAGTGCATATCTATTCTATGAACTTATAGAGTTCATTTTGCAAATGAGTGTTTATTGCACGCTTGAACGCTCTGAGATTGGGTGCGCAAGCGGCATCCGGCGGTAAAGAGTTCCATAGCGGAATACATCGGACAGAGAAAAATCGCTTCCGGGTATCAGTGACAGTGGAGGGAATATGTATCTTATGACGATGGCCCCTGGTTCTAGAGCATGGAGGTGTGTGAAATAAGTCATTGGGGTGGATGCAGGACTGAGCATTAAATATTTTCCAATACAGGATCAGGTCAGCCCGCAGAAGCCTACCATACACTGAATATAGTTCCAACTTTTTTAGGCGTGTTCCATAGTCAAGGCCCGCCATGCCGTCAATATGTTTTGTCCACCTTCGTTGGACTCCTTCAAGCGCACGAAGATCTTGCACATACCCAGTGTTCCACAAGCATGACGCATATTCAAGAATCGGTCGGATATGAGACAAAAATAGAAAAAGCATAAAGTTAGCGGATCGACAAACTGTGGATTTTAAAAGACTTTCAGCCAGCCCCCCTGCCTTGTGGACGGTAGCCTGTATATGATCGTGAAATTTAAGCTTGACA